TATATATGTTTGTAGTATTAACATAATTTCAAGTTGTACTATTATTTCCACCAGGATTTGAACCTGGGTCTCCCACCAAAGAGTGGCGAGTGTGATGACCACTACACTAGAAATATATATAGCATAACTAACCTTTTCTTTCAAGATTTATTTCCATTTTTAAAATATTTTAACCTTTGCATTTATATTTACATTCTCCTTCTGCTTTTCTATCACATTTGGAATTAATATACCAGTATTATCCGAGTTTATGCCAGGCTCAGAACTACAATTTGCAATGTGTAAAAATTAATTATGATTTTTTTTTATTCCAAGATATATACCAGTAAAATAAAAAGATCCTTAATTTTCCATTAATATTAATTATGATTCTGCAATTTACATTTGTAATTGTCAAAAATAAGATTGCACACATATACTGGTACATTCAGGTTATTCATGACAAGTTATCACAGTAAATTCTCCTCAGTTGAATCTCTACATTTACTTGTAGTTGACAGGGGAAACCCCTTAAATTCCCATAATTATAAGAACCTTCATACAATATGTTTCAATTTTAGATATCTCATACATTTAGTTATCAAAATGGTAAACCTTATAAAAATTGAGGGTATAAGTTTTAGGATGTGTAAACACCGGATAAAAAGTGTTGTTATTTACTGGTGTGGTATAGGTTTATTATTAACCGAAAGTACTAGTATCCTGAAACTGAGCCCCTGTGTGTTATCCATATGATTGGTGTACACCTATGTACCAAAATTCAGCTAGATATTTGAATATTGACAGAGTTATGATAAATTGAATTTTTACAATTGGTGGCGTGGTACACGTTTGTAAAGAAATCTACAGATCGTGAAGCATCTTCAAACTGTATCTCTAAAATTAATCTAACATGTAATCGACATCAGAAGATATGTTATTCATATTCATGACTATAACAAACTTTATTGGATGCACAAAACCAATACATCAAAAAGTTAAAAGCTTTTAAGGGTGCGTCAGTTATGAAATTATTTAGATTTGCTCAAGATAATAACAAACCTGACGTGTTCACAGCTGCAAGGCTTTTAAATTACCTCCAATACAATACAGTCAAAACCTGCCACACTACATATTATATAATTTTGTAAATTATAACCTTCACTTTCACACCTGTGTATATCTCGATGCGTATAACAATGCAAATAACATATTAAAGCAGTGCTCGTCATGAAGTTGTTTACAAAATAACAACTCAATTATGTAAACACCTCACAAACGTGATATTTTTTTTTAAATATTTATCTTGACTGGACTTGATCTCTGAGGAAGTGTTGCATCAATAGTTTAGTGTAAGTGTTTGTGACCAGGTATCTCAATGATCTATGATAAGTGTTTGTAACCAGGTATCTCAGTGGTCTATAGTGAGAGTTTGTAACCAGGGATCTCAGTGGTCTATAGTAAGTTTTTGTGTAAAGGTGTCTGAGTGAACTATATTTTTTTTTGATCAGGTATCTCATTTGTCCATAGGTAGTGCGTCCGTTACTGTTTGTGACTAGGTACATGTAACTCTGTGAACTATTACCAGTGATTGTGACCAGGTATCTCAGTGGTTTATAGTACAATTAGAGTGGGTGACCAGATATATCAATGACCTGTAAGTAGAGTTTGTGAGTGACCACGTATCTGAATGGATTATAATTAGTTGAAAATTGACTAAAACGTTACATGTAATCAGTTAATCAATTTTTCATTTTCATATTTAAGAACTGATTATTTCACACGTTTCGAAAAGTGAAACATATAAAAATTAGTCAAAGTCATGGACCCAGGTCTAGTCTAATTCCTTGGTGGATTGACGAATCATATCTACATGTAGCTTATTTTTCCAGATCTCGTGAGTTAC